ATGACTTTTTTCTTGTTGGCCACATTGCTGACAAAGATGTATATAATCATGTGATAATTTTAACCTACAGGACAGGGGACTGATTGGGCAAAACCCCAATCTAGTCCCCTACCCAAAATTATAAATTGGTTAGTATCAAAGAAACAGAGAATTTATGAAAATGATTATACAAAACAGGCACCATTTTACAACTTTCCTCTTAACATCAGAGCCCAATACAATTTCAGGGCTACAAACACTGCTCTGGATTGTAACCTCCTGTGCTTGAAACAGGTTGCAGATTCTCTTAATATTCCTCCATGAGTTGTGACTTGGTCACAGAGCCATCCTTTACCCTAGAGGTAGGATCGTTGCAGGCAACTTTTCATCTAGCATACCAGTGGCCATCTCTGGTCTGGGAAGATTAGTGAAAAGTGTCATTGATGATTGATGCAGTCTTGGTAAACTCCAGATCCATGTGCCTTCTGGAATTCAATTGCACCATCATATCTTTGGGTCGCCAGGTCAAGATTGGCCTTTTGTACATGAGGAACATGTGAGAATGACTGTAATGTGTTCAAGGTTGCATGCATGCTTCAACACTTGTAAATTTCTGATAATCAAACATTGCATATTTGAATTGTTTCTTTTTAAATGGTGTGCTGCCTTGACATCTTGTGATTATAATTATATATTAATAATAGTATTATTATTTACAATTACGCAAAGCAAAATATTATCAATGATAATCTTGTAAATTACCCAGCAAGATCTGCTCCACATTTTGATTTCCAATTAAAATATTTATAAGCTAAAATAAAAGACATCTCATACATATCAATACAAGTAAAAAAAAGTGCCTCTGGTTAGTTATTAACACATACTCCATCCGGAAAATATAAAAAAATTTTACACGTGTCAATTGTAAGTTTAATAATAAAAAAGTGTAAAACTTACGTCGGCACTGTAAGATTTACACAATATTACGTCGGCATCATAAGATTTATGCAAGTTTACGCTAAATTAATTTCCTGATGTCTTTAGGAGGCCCAAACCAAACCAAATAGCAAAACTCACATTTTGTCATTTTGGACTGTCAAAAAATAAATTATTTTTCCAAAACACAAAAAACATCAATAAAAATAAGCAGTTAATTAACAATAATTATTTTAGAAATGTCCTTTAATTAGTATTTCATAGGATTTCAAATTCTGTCGGAATTTTGTTTTATAATAAAATGATCAGCAAAGAAAATTTCAAAGGAACTTTTATGTTTTACACATATTATTTCTTTATTTGTAATATGTAACCCCAAACGAAATTTTTTTAATAAAAGTAGGGTGTTTTGAATATCATTTATCAAATAAGAAAGGTTGTGGTGAGATCACAGTAAAAATACCTTTTTTTGTAATTTTTGAATCAGAATTGCAAATTGCAGCCAGATTTGGTCGCAATTTCATTTAAGGGATAACAGTTATTATTGTATTAATAATAAATAATAATAATCTCTCTTTCTTTGTCATTTCTATTATTATTTTTTTCAAAATTACATCTACCTCTTCAATATCATCTTCAGGGTCATCATTAACTGATTTTTGTAATTCCGCCATTGCTTTTCGCACTGATCCATCTTTTTCATCTAAATTCAAATTCTGATTTAGCTAACATTATTTTATGCCAAATTTCTTTATAAACCAAAAAAGAACTAATATTACCTAATTTTGTTATGTAAAATTTCAATTGAGTTATTTTTCTCTTTTAATTCATCATGTAAATTTTGATTATTGTTATGTAAAAATTGATTTTTTTTTTCTAATTCACAAATTATATCATGTAAATTTTGATTTCATTATGTAGAACTTGGATCAAGTCATTTTTTTCTTAAATTACATCATGCAAATCTTTGATTTTTGTATTTTCTTCTTTAAATATTTCATTTTGTAAATTACAAGGTCCTTCCTATCAACAATATATGAATTTTATTTGTAGTGTATAAAATTTATTTCTTTGGATAAAAAAAATTTTCTTCATCATACCTTCCTGTTTATGACTGGCTTATTAATGATATTTTTGGCTTGACTTGCATAATTTAATGTTGATAAGTTTGCTTCCACCGGTGATATAGTTGCAATCATTGTTGTTTTGGTGTTTCCACCAAATGAATCTTTTAATAATTGGGTCAATTTGCTATCCCTTAATAATAAAAATAATAATAATATTAATTATTTATCCTTGTTAACAATAATTGATTAATTAAATATATGTGTATGTATGTGTACACTAACGTATAAGGAACATGCCCATGTCCAGAATTTTCACCAAGTAAATTAATGCATCGACCAAGTGTTAACAAGCTAGTATTGATGTTTCCGGTTTCTTTTGAGCGTGTGTCATTGGTACCTGTGAGAGCAACACATTCTGATCCTGCCAAGTCGACAAAATTCAATTTTTCAACTTTTGTCAATTTTTCATCATTCAATGACATTTCAACTGTTACTGTAAATATTGAGTGGGAACGACTATTATTGTGATTATTTGATGATCATGATAAATCGTTTATTTATATGTTTCAATTAATGAGTATAATAATTTTTATCTGATTGCTATAAAATCATCCATCCATTAAATACCTTGACTTTTTATTATAGTTGGTTTCTGCAGTTTTCCTTCTAATCACCCCTTGCTTTGAAATATCAATGCCCTCACTGGCATTGTTTATATCCATCTCTTTATGATTCTTCAAACCCTTCATGGAAACTATCAATTTATCTCGATCATTATCAGATAACAGATCCTTCAATTCTTCATTATATAACTCAACATAAGATACTTTTACTGAAGAATCGATATTAATATATTCTGATTGCAAAGTTTGAAAAAGACAGTGAAAGAAATGTGGGATTATTCCAGTATTTGTACCAATATTATTATCACAATCACTAGTACTATCACTGTTATCAATATTATCCAGTTTGACCAACATAGCGGGCTTTCTCTGTGATTGGTTGATAATTTATAATATGCCGATCGTTTTTATTTATTACTTCCAAGACAATAAATAATATAAAAAATAGATAGATAGATTCTTAACAATAATTTT